TCCTTCATTCCTTTATCTTCGTCTAATAACTAGATTCATGTTGTCCACGTTGGCATTTATTTAACTGTTTGTGTGTGTAACGGATTTCGGCCAATAAACTTAATTGCTAATGAAGATAAAATTTTCTTAGGTCTTCATTCGATTGCTGCTTTAAAGACCTATTTTTTTGAAGACCTATCCTTTATCCAAATATAATATTGTAGCAAAGCTACAGAATGTTTATTAGTGAAGAATGTCAGTAATGTGATAAAATGTTGCTAATCCATGTCATTTGTCATTTGTTCTCAATTATTCTCGCGATTAACACGTATTGTTTTACATTTAAAAGATGGCAGTGGAATTAAGAAGCAATAATAAATGTGTTTTCTTAGTTGGTGACGTAAATTATTCAATAACAGGCGCAAAGTTACCGTCTAATCGTCAAGTTCTTGCAGTACTTTTTTTTAACATTCGCGAGGTGAAATTGACTGTTAGTGAAAGCGCTAATCTTGTCATTCGGGAGTGTATTATATTTTGGGAAAAAGCTAGAATCCCTACCAGAGCTATACCTAACTGTGTAAAAAAACTAGTAGATCTTCAAGGAATTAAAACTAAATGAAGAGAAAAAAGATGTGAGCAAATCTGAACATAATGTGTTATAACTTCGTTATTCTTCAACCGATTTAGTTGAAATTTGAAATATAAATAAATTAAATATTTATAAAATTATAAATGTCTTTTTGTTATTACTCATTGAATTTGTTGTTGAAATAAATGGGGTTTATTGAAGGTAATATTTTTCGTAATTTTTCGCTGGATTCTGAGGCCTGAAATAGGTGTAAAACATAGAGTGCGCAGGCCAATTTTTGTTTTATTGTAAAGTGTAACTATTTGGCTATTAATAGGAAAAATTTCATGAAAAAACTCGGATACATTTTTTGGGTATCGCCGATAGAAGTGAAAATGGCCATGAAAAAAATGCTGACTTTTTGTGCAATTTCGCTAATAAAATTTTATTGATAATTAAAATTGAAATTTTTTTTACACATAATGAATAACAATATCGTAAGCTTTAAAAAAAAATTAAAAATGATCATTTTTGAATAAATAGTAAAAAAGCTATAAGGGTTTAAAGTTGGTTAAATTTTTACGAAATCATAATTTCGCTAAAGTTGTATAAACTGCAAATAACTTAGGAACTAATGAGCGGATCACGCCCATTTTTTGCATAGAGTTGTGTTGCTATGTAAGTCACGTATATATGTAGTCCAATAAGTGCAAAAAGTATTTTTAACGATAATAAATGATTGAATATGAAAATTTTGTATGGGGGGTGGGTGTGGCAGTGGGCGGAAAACCTTAAAAAAATGTTGAAATCTAGATAATAACGTAAGTTTTCCGGACACCAAAATTCAGCTTTCTACCTATCATAGTTTTGAAGTAATCTTGGGACCACGGTAAAATCCCCATGTTTGGGCAAAAATTTTATTTTGAATTATTTAAACGATGTGCGGTAAATTTACAACGTTTTAGAATCAACGCAAGGTGCCAATTACTGTAAATTTATCGCACATCGTTTAAATAATTCAAAATAATGGAAAAATACAAGTTGTGTAAACAATTACTTGACAGTCAAAAAATGATGTAGTATTTGTTTTTGTCATATTTTGTATTCTTTCAATAAATTTGTAATATTTTTTTTATAATATAGTAATTAACATATATATACTTGACAAATAATAGAAAATTAATATTATAATAGAAAATTTTTATTTTATTTATTTATTTTATTCTTTAAATATGTATATAATTTATTCTTTTCTTATATACAATAAAACAAAGTTTTAATAAAATTTTTAACTAAAATTTGAGTTCCTCTCCAAAATTCGTATTTATTTTTATAATTAAGATAGAAATGCCCTTAAATTAATAAACTGTAATAATAGTTTATGATTGTGTATATGTCACAATAAAAAAGAAGCAATGTTTATATTTTAATCTTATTCTAGGAATCCCATTCATTTCAGAATTTGGATTTCTTTCATTATTTATTGTTTTAAATAACAATAGTTAATGCTTTAATTTGTGGAAAAAAACACTAGTGGATAAAATAAATAAATAAAAATTTAAATATATTAAATTCATTATAATAATTTTATTAAAATAATAATTTTAAGAAAATATATTAAATAAAAATTTAGTTATATTAAATTTATTCTAATAATTTTATAAAAATATATTCGAAAAACTTATCAACCCGTGTGGATAAAATAAACAAATAAAAATTTAAAAATATTACATTTATTATAATAATTTTATTAAAATATATTCAAAAATTTCATCATTATAAGTTATTTACATATTAAATTAAACTCTTTTTAATACTTTTTTAACTTGTCTTCCAAACAATTTGCTTGGAAAAGATTTTGTGCAAAATTGGGAAAAAAATCCCATTCCTATATGATTCAGAATATCAAAATTGGGAATAGGGAACAAAATTATCATTCCCATATAATTCAGAATAGCAAAATGGGGAAAAGGGAGAAACTCCCTGTCCCATGCGATTCAGAGTAGGTACAAATAATAATAAAAACTTCCATTTCCATATGATTCAGAATAAGGATTTTGGGAATAGGGAGCAAAACTCCCATTCCCATATGAATAAGAATAGCATTATTGGAAAAAGGGAAAAAACTCTCATTCCCATGTGATTCAAAATAACTATGATTATGTCAAATTGCAAAAACCATAACATGAATCCAAAGGTCTGGAGGGCAACTAATAAAATCAGTTTACTAGCGTTTACAGATTTCAGTCAATTTGAATCAAAGATTGTATCTGTTTAATAACCACGGTAGGATAAGAAGCCGTCTCTGTTAAATGTCAACAGAAATCATACCGTCTAAACTTGGAGATGTCTATAGTTCAAATGTATGAATCGCACACTTGAGTGGTCTCAACGAATATCACTATGTTGCTATAGAGCTGCTTCCAAGATGACCTGTTTTCCCACCTGATGGCATATTTTAACACTTTTTGTTTCCATTTATACGAACACCCATCACTTGAAGTTATCACCCTGTTATACAATTTCCTGAAAGTTTAAACAATAACTCCAATTGCTGGGTTTCACAATAAACGTTTGAGTTTTACCGAAGCTTGGAGACCTTTCGGGCCGCGTACGCAGAAAACGTAAGAACTGCGATTAATAAATTAGTCATATCATCGATATCGGAACAGCTACGAATGGCAAGAGAAATTAGTTGTAAGCTGATGTTTAAAGTGGTCCAGTTAGTCCATATTTTCTTAATTGGCTTAGGTGATCTAATAACATTCGAGTACATCATCAATAGGTCAATAGTGAATGTTAAGTTCCTGTCGTCTTATGAAACAGACCAGTTGGTTAACATATGTGAGAAGTTTTCACAAATCAAGGTGAGATCAAAAACATTCGTTCTGCTGAAGGCCAAGAAGGTTTAATCATTATCTCTATTAGCTATTATTAAATGACCTGCAAGAATGAAATCAAAAAGATTCACCGCAGTTGCCTTACTCAATTAATCAAATACTTCATCAATTTTATTAGTTAAATTGAGAATTGATTTTTTACTGCTACATACAATTAACCGTCAAATGTATTTAGCATTAAAACCACCGGCAACTAGTACTTTAAAACCAAGATTATTAAAAAGTACTGACTGTAAATCAAGGCGGAAAGTTGATTGCTGAAAATACGATCTTGGGTGGTCAAGAAATAATAGAATAAAAGTAGATTATAAATATATTTAACAGTGTTTTTGGAATCCGTAATGTTCTATTATGTTTTTAGGAAGAACCCTAGTGCTGTTACACGTTTTACGGTAGGTTTGTTTAGTATTGTAAAATTTGTATCCATTAATTCGAAAACAGTTTTAAGAAGACAAATTGGTTTCAGATATATGCAAGGTACCAATTCCGTTTTGATCTTATTAAGTCAGCAATTAAATATTGAATCAGGCTTGAAGTCCACAAAATTACGTTGTTTTTACGGATTATTTACGTTAATTGTTTGAGCATTGCTTCAAAGGCTGAACCGGAGAGTAATAAATTGCATTTGTGGTGCCGGCGGTTCAAATTCATAATCTTAATTTTTTGATAACACATCAGTCAATAATACGGGTGACCAACTAAGAAAAACAAATTTTTTCTGCCAAAAATCGATTTACTCATCAATATAATCTCCTTGAAGAACAATACAATCATTACAACGCTTCTCTAAGTTCTCGATGCCATGCTTGTAGAAGGATTTGTCTTTTACCTCAAAATAGGCTTTAGTTGCAGCAATTACTTCTTCATTTGAGATGAATTTCTCATCGGCGAGCATTTTTTTGAGATCAGCGAATAGCCAGTAGGCGCTGGGGGTCAGATCTGGACTATACGGTGGATGAGGGAGCAATTCGAAGTGTAATTCGTGCAATTTTGCCATCGTTTTTATTAATTTGTGACACGGTGCATTGCCTTGATGAAACAAAATTTTTTTCTTCGCCATATGCGGTCGTTTTTTCACAATTTCTGCCTTTAAACGATCCAGTAATGCCGAGTAGTACTTACTATTGATGGTTTTTCCCTTTTCGAGATAGTTAATGATAATGAAGATTATACCATGTGCATCCAAAAATACTGAAGCCTTAACCTTCCCAGCTGACTGTTGTGCCTTCGGACACTTCGGACGTGGTTCAGCGGTTGCAGTCCACTCAGATGATGATCGTTTTGATTCCGGAGTGAAGTGATGGATCCATTGTCACATATCGACGCAAAAAATCTGATTTATTACGTGTAAACATGGCCAAACATCTTTACACTTATAATTCTTATACTCACTTTGCTTGTTGTTAAAACCAGATTCAAACTTGAATAGTTTTATAGTGTATCTTATCTTTCCCAATTAGAGCTATCAGTTTAAAATCATTTTCATTAAGTTGTTTAACAATACTTATTCTTTTAGTAATAAATATTAATTTTCAAAATATTTTTTTATTTGTATTGAGTAAAATTACAGTAAAGAAATTTATTTAAAAATTCAGCAAAAATAATAACAATCACAAAAGTTAGACGTAAAATAATCAATAATTTAATTAGGAAAGGTATAGGCTGAAACATATTTAATATACAATTAATCTGGTGTGTGGATAGAAATTTAAAATATAAAATTACCAGAAACCGTAATGGGAATCATATCCTCCATTTTAATATTAGAGTAGGGCGCGTAAACCACTACTCTGTAGACTCGTTACAATAACTCAAAATATAATTCTATTAATATAAATTCATTAATACAAAAATTTAAAAAATATTAAATATCATAAACTATGATATTTATCGCTTCCTTGTTTAATTAGGATACTGAGATAATTACAATAAAATTTATGCACTTGCTATCAATTAAACAATATAAAACAAAGAAAACATAAAAACATTTATAAGTCGGGGCATCTTTTCCACAGTGTAAAAATAGGTTATTCACATATGTATTGTAGCAGCTGTATATCGAGCTTCCCCGCGTCGCCAAGACCATTGACTTGGTCGGTACTGTATTCAATAAAAACCAAATGAAAAAAAAGTTTAATTGTATATATGGTAAAAGAATATAAGTATCATTTTTCTCTAATTTTTCTCTAATTGCAATTAAAATAACTCAAGTGGTATGAAATAAAAAATTATTTTTATTTATCGCAGTACAAACCTGATGCAAATTCTTGGACTGCATAAAAGTTAAATGAAATTTTTTTTGTATTAAAAAAATATAAACACGAAAATGTGCAGTACATACATAATTCTAAAAAACGTACCTGTATTAACAATTGACCGCTTTTAGTATGAGGGTTTCTATAAGCATATAACACCCATAACGCTATCACCAATATTAAACAAACTGGTGTTAAAAATCCTAAAACCACTCCTGCACTTTTTTGCTTCTCTGGAGTGTGCTCTAGTGCTGCTTTGTTGAGTGTCCCCGTGTTGGTCGGCGTTGTTGTTGTATTACCAGACTCATAGGGATACAATGGATGTAAGGAATCTGTTTGATTACTATTACTATTTGTATTTGAGTCTGTGGAATTGTTATTGCTATTGTTGGCATTGTTTCCCTTTTGGCCTAATGCTGGACATAAAGAAGTGTCTGATATTTGTGTGCGTTCACAATCTAACCAGAAATAAATAAACAACTTTGTTATGTAAAACTGTGCAGTAATCTTTTTATCATACTTTTTTGTAGCCAATCCTGTTTCTTTCTTTCGGTTCCAGTGGAACACCTATTCAACGCTGGGCACCAAGAACACTTTAGAATGTATAATATATTTATTTATGAGTTTAGATCTAAGCCAATTTTATTACTTACATCAAATTGAGTCTTATGATTAATACAAGAAATGCAATCAGTGTAATCGAGGCAGGTTGGTAAAGCTGTTAGGTGTATAATTGTCGAATTTGTAATATCTTCATGAGCAAAATTTACTCGGTGATATTCGTAAATCGTTTTTCGACGAGTGACTATATAATCAAATTATTGATAATAGAAATCAAATTCAAAATATTACACATATGGACTTACAGTAAATAACTTTATCGATAATATACGCATCGGACAAACCTACTTTCACGGGATGCTTATCGTCTTGTATTGATTCTATTAGAATCGGCACATTGAAATAAGCAAACACTATATCACCATTTTTATGAAGCGTTGCGCTAAATGTGAAATTACCAACTTCTTGTTTGTCTTGTAGAGTAACGTTCTCCCAAACAACTGTGAATGCAGTTCCTATTATAAGTCGAAATTTATGAGTATAAAAAGGAAAATTATATTTTTTTTAATGTTTTACCATTATCGTCGAAGCGCACAAAAGATGAATTTGAAAGGCTGGTGTCAAAATTGGCCATTAGAGGTGCTATATATTGAGTTGCCGCTAACCAAGCATGGACGTAGTCGCCAGTGTAGAGAAATCCTCCTGTGGCGACAGTTACATTTCTAATCGGGTGTCCATAGAATGGAAAATCAAAACTTAACTCAATGGTCTGCAAAAACAGCAGTAAAGAAATAAATAAATTAAAATGTAACTTTAAAAATTTTCTTTCAAATATTGAATGCGGAAACAAATTTAAAATGCATTGAAATAATTCTTTTATAGTAATTTGAATAATTATTTGTTAAACTTATCAGGGATTACACATATTCAATATTCACAATAATTTCGTCATCAAATGGTTTTGTTTTGTAATTTATATATGAAATATATTTTTTTTTACGCATTCATATTTACTATTATTATATTATAACGTACAACTTTTAAATCTTTGATTTACAGATCTACAATATTATCTAATATAATAAAGTGAAATTTCTAAAAATAAACCTTTAAAAGAAAACTTTTTGTACCATTGCTCTTCGATGTGACTGTGAAAGCATAGAGTTATGTTTGATATTTTGAAAATTCGTCCATAATCGATCTGCTTCTGCTTTATTTACGAAGATTGTGCTGTTGTAGTAATTATGATGATCCTGCAAATAAAATAATTGCTTTTTATTAAGAATATGATCACTAAAAATATTTCCATCGTGTAAATAACTAACCGTTTTACTGCTAACTGTGAAATTTTGATTTGTAATTTCGGTGAGCGTGTCATTTTCCGCCACATCAACTTTATTTACCCACTTATCGTCCACAGTTTCAGTGCTGCCGGATTGTACTCCAGATATTGCACCAAGTACTTTCTTTGGAAATTGATTTTGTTTTTTGGCAGTTTCTTCGTTAGTATTTTGATTTGTGTGCAGTTCAGGATCGGATATAATTGTTTGTTTCGTTTGTTTATCTACTACATCCTTGCGTTGTCCCGTACCATTTACACCTAGCATTGGCCGAGTACTAGAGTTGTAAGGCACTACAATTGATGTTTCTGTTACTGATATGTTTGTTTGTCCTGCTTGCAACGTTTTCGGTGGTAAAATTTGCTTTGCATCTGTCGCATTTTGCGGAAGACTTTCATATTGATTTTTTAAGTCTGTCGGTGATTGCCGCTTTTGTCTTAATTTAATTATATTTGGAAGGGTGTCTGTATTCGTTAAACCTAAAACCAAATCATATCGTTCTCCTGCAAATAGAATCGAATTAAATGATTTTTAAATTTTTAAATTTTTAAATTTTTAAAATGAATACTTATAAATATTCAATATACATAAATTATTTTGACTGGCTTGGGTAAACAAAATTTTAAAAATAATGCCAAAAAAAATATAAAACTTAAATGATGTTAATATTTATTTAGAATAATAAATAGACAATGTCGCTAACATCTTGAGTTTACTAAGATAAACATTTAAATATAGTAAATATAGTAAATCAAAAAGTCATTTAACAAAAATTGTTTTATTTTTATAGACTTTTGTCCCAAGCAAGAGTTTCAAAGTAAAATCGTGCTATCAGCATATTGGGAATTGATGTTTCAATGACATTTTCATGTTGAAAAAAAAAATATATAAAATTTGTTTAACTAAATGAGTTTTTTTCTGCTGGACCATCGTCATGTATTGAGTTTTCTTTAACCCCGTATAATTACAAATATTTTGAGGTAATTCCGTTAAAAGTGTTGAGATAGGTAGCAATCAAAGTTATATAGAAATTACAAATGATCAGATGGCTTTTTACTGTAGCTACCTACCTCAGTACACCCTAATAATCTTCTATCTTCTAAATGAGGTTTCATCTTAAGTGTTGGGTGATTTGAATAGTCATAATGCTTTGTGGTTTCTAAACCTATAATCGGGCGAAAGCTGGTACTATTGACTACCTAAATCTATGATTTTTCATTAAACTACTTATAGTACTTAATACAGATCACAATTCCATCTATCAAGGCCTATATTGAAACTGACATGAAAACCAACAAAAGTTCAAAAAATCCTCTTAGCAAACTATATGATATTTATTTTGCTTTTGATCAGAGACCAAAAATAACAGTTATTTCAATAATTTTTAAGAGAAAAAGCAGCAACTAAAAGTTGCTTAAATTTATATTTAAGTATATAGTTACCAATTTAACAAGTTTTATCCTTAATATTATGGATGTTTTACATGCATATATAAGCGTTTTAAATTAAAACTCAAAGAATAATTATTAAATTTGCTTTATATTATATTTTTCAGAAATAATGTTATCATGTGGCATTTATTTTTCCGCGCTAAAATAATTCTTACACTCTGCTTTTTATTTTAAAACAAATATATTTTATTTTTATAAATATACTTAAAAAAATTTAGGTATCCTTCAAAACATATTTCTTTGAAAAATTTTTTTTGGTTAACTGGTGATGTTGGGCGCGAATTTATGTTTCGACGAACCGAGTGTCACCGTTTAAGGTGGATATCTGCAGCCTAGCCTTCGATTGGAAATCCGTAGTTTATCTTAGCGGATATCAAAGATTTTATGATGTTTATTAGCTTATTAATAAGAATAGAAGAGTATTCAGTTCAAATAATGCTTCGTTATGTCATGAGCTAATTATGTTCTTCATATGCAGAACAGATAGACTCCTAAAAGGACTGCAGTTTGATTTAAGTGAAAGTGAAACAACCTGAGACGTCTATAAAGTTGTCACCTTGTGTTAAAAAGAAATGTTTGAAATGTGTTTCAGTAAAATCGAAACATCAACTCTTTTTTGAGGAAAGAAGTTTGTAAACTCAATTTTGTGTCGGCTTAAGTCCTTTGCATTCATGTGCAAATTTTTAAAGTATTCATTTATTACTCAAAAACATTTGCATTATTTGGATGTACAATTTTAATTATCTCATCAAGAGTGTGCCCGAATTTCGACGAAAAGTTGTATTGGATACAACAGATTAAGACAAAGTAGGCAAAAAAAAATAAACTGGAAAAATAGAATGCATACATTACCAAGTCATCACCATACGACTTTGCTGTGTGGTTTCCGTAGCTTTTAGTAAAATCCATTAGTTAATCAGATAAATCAACCCTTGAGGAACTCCAAAAATGATGCGTACTAAATCGCATCTGTACTCCACATGACATCGTCTACTAATTTAAGCAGTTTTGATGTACCGACACAATAAGGTAACAAGATTCCTTCACATAGTCCTTAATTATAATCAATATTCGTATATATTTCCTTATCGTTAAATATGTATTGTCATTGTTATTTAAAAATTATACACCGCGCACTAAGCGTCTCGATCCATTCGTCAAAAGGTGTATACTTATAAATTTAAAGCTTAACACTGTAGTTTCCTACTAATCTGGGAGGTATAATGATGATGGCTCAAATTTATGATTTGAAAAGCAGTTCAGCAGACTTTTGCTAAATGGCTTTACTTTTCATTAAACTTGTACTGTTGAGCTTACACATAATGTTCGGCATTAATGAGGCTTGTAAAAATATTCCGCTGTTAAAGTAAGTAATGTCGGCGACGAAAGCTGGATTTAAAGACCTGTTTCACCAGCATGGTTTTAGATAACAATTAAAGTGTCCCCACGATGCTCAAGAATTGTGCATTGATTGTATGTTTAAAAAATATTTTTCATTGTACATCTTCCAAATTTAGTAAGAACTACTATTATTTTTGTAAATAGATATAAATAGTTTCAATATTTTAAACTAAAATTTATAACATCACTAGAATGTCAGCATTCCAATTGATCTCCGTGTTAATTGCCTTTTATTTCTATTAACGCAAGTTCAATAGATTTTTAGTAGGTCCCAAGACAATATAAGGTAATTCGAACCAAATTATACAATTTCGTGTTTATTACTCACTTCAATTGCAAATTGACCTAAATATTCAAATTTGCTTTCATTTGCTTTTCTTTGCTTTGACGAAGTTTACTAACAAATAGTATGGTCTGGTTTTGACTTCACAGTGATTTACTGCCAATGCCTATTCCACTACATATTTTATGACAATACAAATAAAATGCATTTGATTTTACAAGGAAGAAAATTTACTTATGTTGAGTGATATAAAAAAGTATCCACGATTTTTGTTAGATTTTTGAATGAAAATTTCCACCACTTTTTACACACTTTTGAATACAAATTTCCTATATTGAAAATCAATATTTTTAATCAATTATATATTGGATATTATCATTTATGATCTTTTATGTTGGTCTTGTAATTTACAGCGGCTCTGCGATACGTATCGCAACTTTTTGCGTATTCTGCACTTTTTAAATGATTTCAAGCTATTATGTGGTTGATGTTTAGTAGTTTCGTTCTTTGCTGACAACTTGCGTGTCGGTCCTGCCCCACCAGATGTAAAATTTCATCGGATTTATTAGTGACAGTTTCACCTTTTTATAGTAATAAGCCATCACATAGCATATTTCTTCATATACTGCACTAATTTTGAAATCAATCTAACTTTTTTGTCTTCATAAACAAATGAAGCCTGAAATGTTATCATTTAAAACGTGTATTCGTTTAACACAATCGTATTAGTGTGGGCAGATATATGGGTATTAACACCATCTAGTGACAGAAAAATGCGGATACTTACCAATATCACCCAATATTTATTAAAAAGCTAACGCATCAAGCCACATTGTTTATTTTTACAAACGTATTACGCGTTTTTCAATATATTTCTTTAATCCCGTTCTAATTGCATTGTTTCAAGATCTCCAAAACATTCCCTTTATATTATTATGTCGAAGCTGTTTTGAGCCAGTGCACTTAAGCACTTTTACTCTTTCTTAACTCTAGGTATTTTTAAAACCTCTCTTTACATCTTGACTAAATTATTGTTTATCACTGCATCAGACTAAGCAATAATTGACCTCAGATCTGCATACCTCCCCGAGGAGCCTGTAACCATTTTGAGATTTGATAACGCGGTGTTGGTAAGTCTGTCAGTTTTCTCAAATAATTTCAGGGACCTATGCTTTATGTATTTTTTGATGGGATTAATCTTGATGTCCCTGAGGATGTCATTCGTCCTAATGTACCATGGAACTTTGAAGTCTTCTCAGAGCCTGGCTTTGTGCAATTTCTTGCTGGCGAATAGTAGTGTTTAAAACTTTGCTAAACGCTACACAACTATATAGAAGTGTCGGACGAATTATTTGGTTATATATCAGTTTCCTGTTCTTAGCATTGAGATTTTCATTTCTGAATAACTATTGGAGGTGATGAAGAATTTTGGCTAATTCTTTTCAGTTTAACATGTTTAAGCCATGCGAATCGTTTGTCCAACGTGATGCCGAGATATTTAACGGTATCGTCCCAGTTTATCACCATATCACCCACTCTCACTCTTGACGGATTTCTGTTCCACTACGCTTATAACAGAGCATCGCTTTTTCATATTTATTTCTATTTTCATTCTGGAATACTCCAGGATTGAGTTTTATATGTTTTTGAAGTGTGTTTATTAGAGCACATTTATTTGTGCATGGCATACACGTATCGTCAGCATATAACCCAGATTGGGGACCTAACACTGGAATATCAGCTTATAAATGTTGTAGAGAGGGGGAAAGTGACATCCGAGATCCCGCGTCTATAGATCGGACTAACGAAGCCGCTGTTGATTTTCGTGCGAAGACCTTCGAGGAAGCTGCGATTTTATTAATCTGCCTGGTATTTTTTAGATGAGAATATTACTATCAGACCATCATGCAGACCTTGTCAAAGCTTTGCATTAACGAACGAAAAAGCACGACATGCACGAGGTTTATATGTTCTTGAAGTGTGTTAGTTATATTGAGAGCACATTTATTTGAGCATAGCATACACGTATCGTCAGCATATAACGCCAGAGTTGGGGGACCTAACACTGGAATATCAGATGTATAAATGTTGTAGAGAGGGGGGGAAAGTGGACATCCCGGAGGAATCCCCGCGTCTATAGATCGGACTAACGAGAGAGCGCTGTTGATTTTCGTGCGAAAGGACCTTCCGTAGGAAGCTGCCGATGGTCTTAGTTAATCTGCCTGGAATATCTAGATGAGACATTATTACTATCAGACCATCATGCCAGACCTTGTCAAAAGCTTTAGAAATATCAAAAATGATCATTCCAGTTGACTCTCTTCTAATAAGGGCTGTTTGGATCATTTGGGTCATTCTAGCCAGTTGA